ACTGCCGACACCGGGACCGGGTCAGTCTGCAGCGAGCACAGCTCAAGAACTCGGGCTTTGTGCCCGTAAATTAATGTCCTCAGCAATGTTATTTTCCTCTCGCGTCAATAAAAGGGTAAAAAATAACATCGGGCACAGGAGAGGAAAAGCAGATCGCTGGCAAAGCCAAGCGCTGCCAGCAGAGCGGAGCTGGAATTCTTGCAGACTTGGAAAAATGGCAGAGGTGCTCGGAAACGATTGTGCCCGCGTGTCTTGTTGCGTTTTTCTTCCCCTGGTTTTCATCGGTATGAAATAATTTTCTTTCTGCCTCTCCCATGTGCAAGAGAGGCTGCGTAGCTCGTGGCACTGGCTCCGGGGCTGGTTTCTGGTGGCTTGGGAGAGCCTCGGAGCCCTTCTCTGGGTCAGCCCTTTACCGGGGAGCGATGCTCGGGTCTGAGATGTCTCCTGCTGTAGCACTTGGGTCTCCCGAGGAAACGTGCTGCAAGAAGAGGCTCTCGGCAAATAAAACAGGGTTTGGATGAGGCTCTGTTTTTGAAGAGCTTCAGGCCTCCAAAGCCCAAACTGAGTTTGTTTTCCTGCTGGCTTTACGCGTCGGCTGCTGTTTAACCCTCTGCTCTTCCGAGCAAAAAGAAAAAGTCATCGCCCCACGAGGAGGCATGGCTTTCTTCCTCCTCAATTATCTCTCATTAGTAAGTACAAGCAACTCCATTTAACTGCCTTGGGAACAATTTCTGCATCTATTGAGCCGGCCTACAGTAAGTCTTGTGGTTTCCTGTTGGCCCTGGAAACTGAGCACACTTCATTATGGGCAATGCTTTACTGCACCTCATTATTTTTTCATAATCTTATTGTACTTCTCCTTTTAACAGCGATGGAGGGGGGGGGGGGATGGGGGAAGGGAGTAAACAAGCAGAGGTCCTTTTGGGTCCCGAACCTCCCCAACCAGCTTTTGGAATCTGCAACCACGCATCGGCGACGTTGAGTTAATTGGCCGCTCCAGCAGCTTTTTGGAAAAAAAAATCAGTGGGTTTTAAGGTAAGGAAAGCTCCTTCAGCACCCTGCGAGCTCAGGCCTTTAGGAATCCTCTTCACAAACGGGTCCAGAGCTCAGTGGTCGGGTCCAGGAGGAGGCGAAACGGCGCCGGCACGAACCCCGGCAGCGGCAGCCCCGCTCTCGCAGGTGCCTCGCCTCCCTTCGCCAGTGTCTTGGCAGCGCTCGCCATCTGTTCCCGTCTTTATCCTGGCCGCCTCCAACCCCTTATCCTCTTTATGGCACTCTCCTGCTTTATCCTGCTGTCCCCTGGCAAATCCCGGCGAGGCGCCGCGCTCAGCCACGGCCGCGCTTTAATCTTTTCCGCATCCTCGGCGGAGAGGTGCTGCCGTGTCCTGCTGGTAGGGACAGGGGGGGGTCCGTGCTGTTGTCTGGCATCTCCCCCATGGGGTTTGGCCGTTCCTTGTGCCCACCACCAACACCCGAAGCTCCAGACGAGGTGGAGGAGTTTTTGGGAGATGAGGGGCGCTGGTGCAGAGTTTGGAAACCGAGTCCGTGCCACCAAGTCCGTGCAGGCGGGCATTTAACCTCCCTGTTCTCCGTGGAAGGGGCACTGGTGATAGAGCGAGATAAATGTGGCTCGGGGCTCGAGTTCGCCTCTGCCTTAAGGAGTTTTGAATCAGTTTTAGGATGTGATTTTAATTTCCGAGGCGTTCAAACCCAGACGGCCCGCCCCAGCTGTCACAGGGGTGTGCCGAGGGTGTCGCAGCAGGCCCGGAGCTCTCTCAGATTTTTGTCCTTGTGATTTGGGGTTTTCCAAAGGGAAGTTCAGGAACGGAGTGAGAACAGGGTTTTTCAGCTCAGGCTTTTGACGCTTTCCTCCTCAATTCCCCCTCCTGACGTTGGCCCTCGCATCTTCTCCCCCTGCGCCCGCTCCTTGCTCCTGCTCCCGGGAGGATGAAGGCGGGGGGGGGCGATGCTCGGGCCGTGCAGTTCGGTAGCAGCAGCTGGCAGCGAGCTGCCCAGGCTTGGAAAAATCCGATTTTTTTTTAATTTTTTTTTCACTTTCCGCCGTTGCCAATTAGGGCTGGATGCGGGGAACGCCGCTCTCCTTCGCCAGCCTCGCAGCTGCCACGCTGGGAACGCAGACGAGTCCATTAACCTCCCCGAGCCGAGGGCTGCCTCCCACGTCTGCGAAGTGAATGGAATAAAACCGAATAAAACCGGGGCCTGGCGGAAGGGTTAAGGCATTACCATATGTGAAGTCCTCAGAAATCCGCAGATGAAAGGCTCTTTAGAAGTGCAAAGCGCTATTATTGGGCTGGCATCTGCGGAGCAAACTCGCGCAGGAGCCGCCGCCGCCGCCGCTGCGAGGTTTCCAGCTAGGAAGTTCTGAGGCAGCTTTCATCCAAGGGGGATAAAAAATATTAAAAAAAAGGGAAAAAAATCCAATCCAGAAACAGATTCCGGAGGGTTAGAGGGAGCGGGTTGGGGCTGAGGTAGGTGGGGGAGATCCCACACGGCCGGGAGCAGGGCCCTGGGTCCCTACGGGGCTGTCCCGGTGTTTTGGGGCCTGGTGTTTTGAGTTTGTTCCCCCTGCTCGCGATGTCCCCGTGGTCCCGTAGCAGTGGGTTCAGCTGATCCCACAACCAACCCCTCCTGGGGGTGCTCCCTGCCTCCCTGGAGGGGCAGAATTGGGGCAGGTTGTGTTAGCACCCTGGGGCCCCAAAGATATTTGGCACTTGGCCGGGCACCCCTCAGCACCGTGTCCCCGTTCCCCACCGAGGGGCCAAGCGTAGCCTGGAGGAACATCCATCACCGGGACGGTTTTGGGACATCCAGCAGGACCCCGGGACGGGGCTGGAAAACCCCAAAGGAGCCATTCGGGTGCTGTCGTTTGGGGTCATGGGGTGAGGGAGGAGCCGCTCGGGGGCCAACCCCAAGGTTTCGCCGGCAGCCTGGTGGGTTTGGCTGTGTGAGCAGGGCTCTGAACGGGGACACTGGGGACAGGGAGGGGGTTTGAGACACCACAAAAGGGTTTTTTGGCAGGTTTGGACTCGAGGGCTCTGCTCGGCCCCAGTATGACGGAGAGGAGCTGCCCCACACCACATCCGTACCCCATGGGCCCCAAGGCGCTGTGCCCATGGGGGACACCCTCGTGCACCCCGTCCCTCACAAACCCCACAACGACGCCCGGTTGTGGCGACAGGAAAAGGTTGAAATTAGGCCAGCAAAGAGGCGAGATTTTAGCTTTATTTCACACCCTGCTGACCCCTGACGAGGGAGGACAGGGGCACCAAGCCCAGACCTCGGGGGCGCTCAGCTCCTCCGACCCAACGCTGCGCTGAGGGGGGGGTGAAAAACCCCAAAAAAAAGCCTCTCCCGAGGCCGGGACCCCACGGCACAGACGGTTCTTTCTTCGCCGGGTTTTTCTGCGCCCCGGCCCCGTAAACAATCCCATTGTGCGAGGCACAAACAGGGCGAGGGCGAGCGGGGAACAAAGGCGGCCGTTGAGCGGCCGGAGCAGCGCGTGACGGCCCCACGCCGCTCGGGGCCGTGGGGGGATCGCCGTGGACCCGGCACCGCCGGCCCCGCTCCCGGGGGAGCGTCCCAAGGGTTTTTTTTCCCCCCTGTGAAGAGGCCTCGGGGTGAGTCGGGTCCCACCGGGTGGCCGGGGTGCTGCTGTGTAAGGTGTGCGGGCCCCACGCAGACCCCATAAAGGGTACAGGCCCTGCACAGACCCCACACAGCGGCTCAGACCCCATAGAGGGGTGCGGGTCCCATTAAGGGCCTGTAACAGGTACAGATGTCACACAATGCCCGTAACAGGGTCCAGACCCTATTAAGGCCCCACACAGGGGTACAGGCCCGATAGAGGGCTGCAGACCCCACAGAAACCCCATGGGGCCCAGGCCCCATGCAGGCCCCATACAGGGGTGCAGACCCCATAAAGACCCCATAAAGGCCCCATAGAGGGGCTCAGACCCCATTAAGGTCCCATTAAGGCCTCGTACAGGTATGCAGACCCCATTGAGGCCCCATAAAGGCCCTATAAAGAGGTGCAGACCCCATTGAGGCTCCATAAAGGCCCCATACAGGAGTCCAGACCCCATAAAGGCCCAATGAAGACCCCATAAAGGCCCCATACAAGGGTGCAGACCCCATAGAGACCCCATACAAGGGGTGCAGACCCCATTGAGGCCCCATAAAGGCCCCATACAGGGGTGCAGACCCCATACAGACCCCATAAAGGCTCCATAAAGAGGTGCAGACCCCACTGAGGCCCCATAAAGGCCCCATACAGGGGTGCAGACCCCATTGAGGCCCCATAAAGGCTCCATAAAGAGGTGCAGACCCCATTGAGGCTCCATAAAGGCCCCATACAGGAGTCCAGACCCCATAAAGGCCCAATGAAGACCCCATAAAGGCCCCATACAAGGGTGCAGACCCCATAGAGACCCCATACAAGGGGTGCAGACCCCATTGAGGCCCCATACAGGCCCCATACAGGGGTGCAGACCCCATACAGACCCCATAAAGGCCCCATAAAGAGGTGCAGACCCCATTGAGGCCCCATACAGGCCCCATAGAGGAGCCCAGACCCCATAAAGTCCCCATAAAGACCCCATTAAGCCCCCATACAAGGGTGCAGACCCCATAAAGGCCCTGTAGGGGCCCCATACAGGGGCACAGACCGGGCACAGACCCCATAAAGGCCCCATACAGGGGCACAGACCCCCCTAAGCCCCCCCTAAGCCCCCCTCCCTGCCCTACAGAGAGGCCCCGCCCCCAGGCCCCGCCCCCAGCCTTGAAGCCCCGCCCCTCCCTCCCCCTCCCTCCCCCCCTCCCACCCCGCGCATGCGCCCAGCGCCGCCGCCGGGGCGGGGCCTGAGCCGCGCCGCCATTGGCTCTGCCCAGAGCGGGGGGGGGGGAGGGGGGCGGGGCGGAGGAGGCCGCGTGCTCCCGCGAAAGCGCTCCGGGCGGCCGCGGGGGCGGCGTCAACGTTCCGGGCGGGCACGGGGGCGGTGCAAGGCGTTCCGCCCCCCTCCGCCGCCCCCCCCCCCCCCTCCCGGTCCCGGTCCCGGTCCCCTCCGCTTCCTCCGGGAGCGCGGCCTCGGCCTCGGCGGCGGCAGCGGCCCCGGGTGCGGCATGGAGCCGCTCGCAGGTAACGATCCCGGCGGCTCGGGGCGTTCTCCGGGTCCCACCGGGCCGTAGGGGTTGGGAGGGGGGGGGGGTGCCCGGTACCGGGGCCCCGCCGCTGGTTCCCGGTGGGGCCGGGGCCGGGGTCGGGGTTGGGGTTGGGCCCGGCGGGGTCCGCGCTGCCCCTTTGGGCCCCCAACTACCGGGCCCGGGGGGTCCCGGTGGGGCCGGGGCCGTGCCCGGTGCCCGGTACCGGAGGCTCCGGGGGGGGGTCCCGAGACCCCCGGTGAGGCCCGGCCGCTCCTCTCCGGGCTCCCCCCGGGCTCCCCCCGGCTCCGGGAGGGTCCCGCACACGGCCCCGTGGGGGCCTCGCTGCCGTCGCCGGGCCCCGAGCGCGGCCGCGCCCCGGGGCCGTGGGGCCCCGTTAGGAGCCCCCCGAGGAGCCCCCCCCGGACACCCCCCGGCCCGGTTCGGCCCCGTGGGGAGCCCCCCGAGGAGCCCCCCCGGCCCCGTTTGTCCCCCCCCGGCCCCGTTTGTCCCCATGGGGCACGCCCCGAGGCGCCCCCATCCCCTTGAGGAGCCCCCCAAGAGCCCCCCCCATCCCCATTTGTCCCCCCGAGGATCCCCCTGTCCCCGTTTTTCCCCCTGAGGAGCTCTTGATTACACCCCCCGTCCCCAAGGAGCCCCCCCAGGGTGCCCCTGTCCCCGTTTGCCCCCCCGATGAACCCCCCATTCCTCTTCAGCCCCATAAGGAGCCCCCATCTCTCTTCTTACCCCCCCCCGAGGATATCCTTTTCCTCATTTGACCCCTTGAGGAGCCCCCCTGAGGACACCCCTGTCCCTGTTTGTCCCCGTGAGTAGCCCCCCCAGGAGCCCCCATCCCCGTGAGGCGCCCCCCAGGACCCCCCTGTCCCCATTCATCCCTTCAAGGGCTCCCGTGTCCCTGTTCCTCTCCATGTGGAGCCCCCATCCCTGTGAGGAGCCCCCCAGCACCCTCCTTTCCCCATTCACCCCCTGAGCCCCCCCATCTCTGTTTCTCCCCATAAGGAGCCCCAAGGAGCCCCCATCTCCCTGAGGAGCCCCCATCCCCGTGAGGAGCCCCCCAGGATCCCCCTGTCCCCATTCATCCCCTTGAGGACTCCCGTGTCCCTTTTTGTCTCCATGAGGAGCCCCCCAGCCCCGTGTGTCCCCCCCAGCACCCCCCCTGTCCCCATTCATCCCCCTGAGCCCCCCCCCAGCCCCGTTTCTCCCCATGAGGATCCCCAAGCCCCATTCTTCCCCACGAGGATCCCTCGAGCAGCTTCTCCTCCGCTCGGGTCCCCGCCGGCTGCAGTGCCTCTCCCCCGACGTGCAGGTATCCGTGTCCGGATCCGTGTCCGTGTCTCCTGGCAGGGCAGAGCTGGACCTGAATAATTCAGGTGGCAGAGCAGGAGGAGTGAAAGTTTTAAAAACTTTATTGGGATTATTGACATCGGGTGGCTGCTGATGTCAAATTTCTCTCCTCTAGGAGCTGGGGTTTGTTTTCTGCCTCGCCGTTCTCGCATGCCCCCGGAGCAGCGGCGGCGCTCGGGGTGTGAAAACTTGGTGTGCTGCTTTAGAGGAGGGAAAAAAAAAGGCAAAAGAAACAAAAAAACAAAAAACACAAACCCGCCTTGTGGTGCTAATTGTAAGGCCAGGCTCGGAGTTAAGAGTTTCAGCTTAACAAAAGCTGACATTTCAAGTGGGTGCGAGGGAAGCAGCTGGCAGGGAGAGGCGCAGCGGCAAAGTTGGGACGGGAGCGCGGGCAGCCGGCTCCTCTCTGCCCCTCGCGAGTCGTCCCCACAGCACAGCGAGGAAAAAGCTCCTCGCTCGGGAGATTCGGGATGTTCGTGATGGAAAATGCACTGGCGGAGCTGCTCTTTGGGGAAATTTGGTGTTTAAAACACACGAGCGCGCGTTGTGTTTTTTTTTTGCCTGCTGCAGAAGCTGAGGGACCACGGGGGGAGGTGGCGAGGAGCTGTGTGCCCAAATCCTTGCAAAATTTGGGCTGAAATCCTCCCAGAGCCTCAATTTTGTGTCCTGGTGCCAGGAGTTCGCCGTCCTCCTGGCTCTCGCCCTGCTCCCGCGAGCCCCGCCGATGTCTCCGCCGGCCTCTCCGGGTGAAATTTCCACCAAGGCTTCAGCGGAGGCTCGGAGCAGAAATTTTGGCTTTAGGATTTCTCCCGAAAAAGCCTCTGGGAAGAGGAGTTGCTGAAGAACAGCGCCCGGTGGGGCGGGGGGGCAGCAGGGCCTTTGAAGCCGGCTTTTCCGTGGCTTTGCAGCTCTGTTCCCGTGCTGCTGCGGGCACGGGTTTCGATCCGAGCTGGAGAATCGTCTGGAAGTCGAAATTAGCGCAGCTGAATTTAGAGCAAAGGCGAGCAGGTGGCTGCGGCCCGTGGAAATAGGACAGGGCGTGCTTCTCAGGGAAGCCGCGCGCGTGAAAACGGTCGCAGGGATCCCGGCGAAAGTTTCCAAAAGGCGACCCTCGCCTCGCTGCTGCCTCTCCTGCGCCCTGGCCCTCTGGAGGAGCAGCGTTTTGGGAAAGCTGCTCCCCGTGGTGGAGGTCCCGTGGAGGTTTTTTTGTTGCAAAAGGGGCTCCTTGCACCGAATTCGGGCACCACGGTGTGTGTGGGGTGACCCGAGTCACAGCGGGGGCTCCTCAGGGACTGGGGGCAGGAGGCAGCAGCGAGGAGCCTCCCTCGAGGCTTCCCGTCCAGCTCATTTGGAGCGGAGCCACGCGAGGAGCTTATTTTGGAGGAGCTCTCCTGATAAGGCTTATTAAATAAAGAGCAGGGCTCGGGCAGCACGGCCGGGGGCTGCTCGGGGCGCTGCAGTTCTGGCCTCTGGGTTGCATCGCGAAGCTTTCGTCGGGCGTGAGGCAAGCTCTGCTTTGCAGGTAAACGCCCTTCAACGCCGCTTTTGGGGGTCGATTTTTTTGAATTTAGGAGCAACATCAGCTTCGCATCGAGGTCTGCTGCTCGCTTCGGCTGCTGGGACCTCGCAGGGGAGCCCCGCAGGGCAGGAGAGCAGCAGCTGGGGGATTCCTCCCGGGGCATGGTGGCAGCGAGCTGCTGCTGGGTTTCGGGTCCTGAGCCGGCAGCGATAGCTCTGCAGCACCTTCTGCAGCATAGAGATCCAGAAAAAATATGTTTCCTTGTGATTTTTTAGCATTTACGGGACTTGAGCCAGCTTTGAAAACACCTCAGGTGCGTGGTGAGGGCTTTTTTTCACTCGTGTGGTTGTTAAAAACCAAAAGAGCCGTGCGTTGGCTCTCAGCAAAGGTCCCCAAGTGCTTTGGAGGGCCCCGCTCCGAGGTTTGCTGCCTCCTCGTCCCGGAGTTAGGTGGAGGCATCCCGGCGGTGGCTGCCCAGCTTTCACTCTCTGTTTCTATGGGTGTGGTGACCGAGCAAGAAATCCTGTTTGAGGATCAAGCTCATTACGGCGCCGAGCCGCGTGTGACTCACGGCCGCTCGGCGTAATCTCTACCTCGCTCCGCTGGGTCCCGGTGCGCGGCGAGGGGCAGGAGCACGGCGAGACCTTGCTGAAAAGGAGCACGGAGCAGCCCAGAGGTAATGTGAAAAAATCTCGGTGCCGTCTGTAGGTGGGGAGCTAGCAGAGCGCGGAGTGTCCCGGTGCGAGGCTTCTACCCGTGCCTCGCGAATTAAAGCGATCAGTGATGTGAGCCTAGCGATGGATCGGGCAAATTCTGCTCCCCAAAGCCTTTGTTGTGGTCTTGTTCGCCCCCACGTAGCCCACGGCCTCGCTGTTCTTTGTTCTGCTCCTCGTTAGCTGACGTTCGGTGACTCAGAGGCTCCCTGCGACCCCGCGCGCTCGAGCGCGGCGCGCCGTTGGCATCCCCAATCGTAAGGAAACAGCTTTCAGCACCCAGCCCGGGAAACGCGCCCATCCAACCCCAATCCGGCTTAAAATCACAACGCTGGCAGTGCAGAGGAGGAATTCAAATGCACTCCGGGATGAAAGTCATCTTCGGTGGCTAATACCTTTCAAGATGTTGACTTAAAAGCCGGAGTTTAAAAGTGAAAGGCGAAGAGAAGTGTCTTTTCACACAGAAGGAAGCGTTTTCCTTGGGCTGAAGCCGTGGAGTTTCCTTACGTGGTTTTGGTTGCTGTGTCCTGCTGCCTCGGGTGAACGGGAAACGGATGCCCGAGCCCTGAAGGCAGACACCTTTTTCTTACTTTCGTTTTATTTTAGGACCCAAACATACGTGAGGCACCTCTGAGAGCCCTCTCCCGTGCTGGTGGTCGGGTTCGGACCTCGGGAGCTGGGGCTCGTGGGTTTGCCACCCTCCGACCCCTTCCTCAGCATCAGCCTGACGGGCAGCTTGGTGAGACCGGCTAAAAAATAAATACTGCTCCATTTCTGCTCCTATTCACCCCGCTTTTGTGCTGGGACTGACGATTTCATGCTGCTGGTCTTGGTAAGATTGGCCTTCAAGGAACAGGGCAGAGCTATTGCCCAGGCAAGTCGAGTTACGACGGCTCCTAAATGTCTGCAATTCGGGAGGTTTTTAGCAGCGGAGCTGTGTCCAGGTGTAAGTTTGTGTCCCCGTGCTTCCCTCCCTTGTGTGTTTGCACAGAGCTGATAAAGCGGCTGGCGGGTCCTGCCCGGGGTGGTTCGGTGCCAAGCAGAGCCCTGGGAACAGTTTCTGGAAGCGCTCGGTGCGTCACTGTGAGGTGCCGAGGAGATTTAATCCTCTCTGGAGGTTGCGGGGATGAAACCTCGGGTCTTGGCTGGGGGGAGAAGGTTTTCTCATGCAGGAATCATCTCTGGCATGAGCTAACGCTGGCGGCTCGTTCCCTTCCGAGGCTGGTAGAGGACCCATGCTTGTGAAGTATGACGGCGTGTTCAGACACGACAGCAAAACAGGGTGAAATATTTCCAGTAGCAATGAACTCAGTCATCCTTTCTGGACAGGACAATGAAAAACAGTGAATCAGGCTGAAACCATTCGCTGGCAGTTCTGTGAAACGCCTCCGAGCCCGATGG